ATTCATTTTATTAAACATAATATTTATTTTTACTTGAACATGTTAAAATAACTTTAATATGATTATGTTAAGAACATATTTTACTCCTTAAACAATTGTTTTGTTTTTAATTACTATCATTGCAAAATTGTATTGAAAAGTATTAAAAATTCTTACACGGGCAATGTTGATGGTGATAGGTACCGTTAAAGTGTTTATTGGGATATCCTTAAAACCTATGAAAGGCACACAGCGTGGGGCAATAAATCTGTCAACAACAAATGCGTAAGGCGGTCCCAATCGAGACCGAAAATAAACACTAGACACACATTAAAAAAAAAGCCTAATAGCCAAACTCGAGATTTGTAAACATTAGACAACAGAATAATCGCGCTTGTAATTTGTTTGACTAATAAATAAATGCAATGCTTAACTTTGGAATTAATAATAAAAAAAAGACAAAACTTTATCACAAAACGTGCTTGGGACAAATTTTTTTAAAAACAACTGACACACTTTACCAAGTGCAGGAACTATCTGACCAGGACACGGACAATGACAATAACGAACAAGACAAAGACCTCGACTAGGAAACTACACCCCTGCAGCGAAATAACATCTCCCCAACTCCAAATAGTAATCCCAAATGTTTGGAGTAATACTAATCGACTGGTCTAGGGGGATTCCGCGTCGTACTTAGTTTTAAGTCGGCGTAATTGTCCCCCAAAAACCAACACCCTCCCGTCCCTCCTCCATACCCCACCGAGCGTATAGCATAGGCTCGGCGAACCCGGGAACGGCTATTAAAACTATTCGCCTCTCGCTCTCGAGCCCCAAATAGGGGACAGTACGGAACGCAATGGACATTCGCACCCAGCAAACACGGGTGAAGCCGTGCAGTTGCTGGGGAAGAACAAAAATCGGCGTAAGTAAACATAGGCCTGTACGGGGTTCGAGAGTCAAGAGGAAATGGGGCTGGTTATACGTCTCTTATACTCATACTTATACTCATACTCATACTCATGATCTTTTAATATTTTGATAAGGAGAGAATTCCAACGTAACTTAAATTTCGTTCAATTTATAACGAATTGCTTTTAAATAAAATAAAAGTAAGCTTAAATCATAAACATATCTAAAGATTAATTCTTTGTTAAACTTAATCTTTAAAATCTTGAAAACCAAAGGTCAGATATTTTTCTCAGAATTTTTTTGTCTTTGAATCACCTCATAAACTTTGTGCATACACTTAATTAACATTATGTGTAACAAACTCAAAATAAAAATTAAATTCACGATGAAGCCTTTAGTGTGGAGTTACCTTTTTCAATTTTAATGGCCTTAATTTTTTAAAAGGCATTAGGTAAAGTAATGACTCTATTCATCGCGGAAAGTAATATAAAAGAAGTTTTTACGGTTTTTCATTTAGTATACAGGAAATTTCATAGTTTTAAGCACCTCACGTAAGTGCTAGAGCCATTCTAATTATAATACACATTAAAATTTACAAGTAGCACTAATTATGGATATTGTAAAATCCACATGTTACATCGGAAAAACGAAAAAAGAATAATAAAAAATCCCGTTGAGGGAAATAAGGCAAAAGTTGAAAACTTTTACAATTATTTTTTGATTTGTATTCCGCTGTACTGAATCCATTATTGGCTTTCTTTGATTTATTTGTTTTCTTCAAACCGATCCCAATTTGCATATTGATCATCCTGTACCCTTGTTTTATGTTGCCATTTTACCAGCTTTTTGTCTAATTTAGTTTTTAGTTTCATTCATTATTTAATTATTCGTTTTTTCTTTGAAATAGATATTTTTTGCAAATCATATTATACTACAATAAATATATATATATATAATATTATATTATAATATATTTTAATAATACATATACCGATTGGTTTTCGAATCAATATTTTTATTATTGCAAATTAACAAACTTATTTTTGTTGTTAATTTTTTAATTTAAAAACTTTTTAGAGAATTAAAAAAGTTATTGACCCCGGCGCATTCGCCACTTTTGAAAGTGTCTGTAAATTTGTACAGTACAGTAACTGTTGATTACTTACTATTTATATATTAATGATAATACCTATATTTGGTTTTAATTAATAAATTATAACAGCCATTTTGCTGCAGGGTTAACGTTAACTTTTTATTTAAGACATTAAATAATAGTTTTGACGTAAAAATATTTTGAAACATTTCCAAAATGGCGTTGCACAGTCAAAAGTTCACTTCTCTGTCTCTGTCCAAAATTATAACAAAAAAATTGGATTTTATGAGTACAATTTTGAACATTTAATAATTTCATTTTAGAATTTTGGAATTATAGTATTTTAAACCTTAAATAATAAAAGGCGTTGTACTGCCAAAAGTTCACATTTTTCAAAATACAAAGTGGGTCATATGCTGATTATATGTAACTACTTATTTCCTATTGTACAGAATGGAATAAAAAAAAATATATTTAAAAAAATATGCCAAAAAGGGGTCTTTATAATGATAAGAGTGAAACACTAAAATTTAAAACTGTAGGTAAATCTTATGCAGCTTATTTCTTACAAACCCTACAAATAATTTAAAAAAGAAGTAAGTAGTTGATTATGTTTAGCTAGTGATCAAATTTGAAAAAAAAACATGTTTTATACTAATAAAAAAAACATTTTTTCTTTTTAAAATTATACAAAAACTTTTATAATAATTATAAAAGCTTTGTTTTTTGTTTTTATAAGAAAAAAATAAAACAATTTATGAAAAGGACAAGTGTCACCATCTAAAGTGTCTTAAAGTACAAGTTAGACCAAAATGGTTTCTGACACAATGAAAATTTCAGATTTCTATTATAATCATCGTTTGACAGCTTAGCTGCACGGTTTTAGGTTTTAGTACTGTTGACTTTCGGAAAATACGGGATTGTGTGCTTATGTTTTTAGCAAAACAATGTTTTTTCTCAGTGCTGGAATAACCTATAGGCCAACCTAGGCCATGGCCTAGGGCGCCGCGAAGCCAATAGGCGCCCAGGCAGAAGGCTCATTTTATTTAAGTTGGTTAAATATTAAAATTAATCAATTAAATTAAATAATTATAATTATTAAACATGGAATACCTACTCTCTAAAAATGAACTAGTCAAAAATGGCTAATTTAATAGTTATTAGTGGCTGCTTTTTCACTTGTACCATGGTTAACCATGGGATACCATGGTATCCCAAAATTTAACAGCCAATTCTTATGTAAAATTGTCCCCTGTATACGAAAATGTCGTCAAAAGTTAAAAAAGTAGAACAGTTTTTGAGATATATTCAATTTTTCATTTAATATGTAATTGACTATATCTCAAAAACTGCTCCACTTTTATAATTTTCGGATTCAGGTACAATTTTACATAAGAATTGGCTGTTCAATTTTGTGATACCATGATACAAGTGAAAAAGCAGCCACTAATAACTATTAAATTAGTCATTTTTGACTAATTAATTTTTAGAGAGTATACTTTTTTATTTTAATAACAAAATCGGAAATAACAAGAATAATTTTTGTATTCTTTGTAGCCTATAAAACAGCAGCGCGTGCCAACAATGCACTGCGACCCCGCTAAAAAAATTTTGCATGCATGATCAATAATCTGGGATTTTAAAATAAAAAACTACAACCACTGGCTTTTAGCCAGTTGATTTTTAACATTTGTAAGTAATAATTATTAATAAATCGCGCCCTACTTGCTCCCCTTATCTGTGCGCCCCTGTCGGCTAAAAGGTATTGTGTTAAATTAAAACCATAGGTACTAACATGGCCTATAATTATAGGCGCCATTTTATTATTAGCCTAGGGCAACAAATTGTCTTATTTCGGCCCTGTTTTTCACCGCGAAATGAATTTACACATGACACGTGACAAAGCAAACTATAGCGTCTTCTGCCGCAACTATTTCTGGGGATTCCCCAGTGGGGAATACCTTTTTCTTACACATAGTTATATATAGGTATAATAAGTGACAGAGCGCTTTGATATCTATGCAAAAATAAGACCTTATATTAGCCAGTCTATTTAAAAAACAATGTTTCTAAAAAAAAATGGAAAAGTTTACATCACTATGATTAGCTTGCAAAGAACTTTTCAGTGATGTGTCCTATAATCCCGCTACCCATTAAAAAATTTGCGACCTTCGCCATTTTGAAAGTTTTTCAAGTCAAAAGTAGTATTTAATGTGTAGCATACTAATATCCAGTGGTTTAAAAAATAAAAGGGGTGATTTTTACGCCTCCCCGTATAATATACAGGGTGATTTACCCAACTGATTCATTAGACTCTTATGATTAGATGGTTATATAAAACTAAAAGAGACATCAATCTAAACTAATTTAATTTTAAACTAATTTTAGTTGCAGCCATAGTGCGATGTGATCTATGTTTCTTAAATATTTTTAATGCGGTGTAACTTTTGGTTCAACCGGAAGTGACAGTTTCTTTGTTTTTTTAAATGAAACCCCATACGTATTGTTGCATTTTATAATTCTACATAAAATTCTGGAGCTGTTGCATTTTAAAAGGTTTTACCATCTTAATTTCTTTTTGAAATATTTAATTTTTTCAAATAATTTTTGACGCAGGACGTGACTAACTTAAATGCCTGTATAACCAACAGTTGTAATGTTAAAAACTTCATTCTTGGTTAACACAGGAGTATCCTATGAGGAGCCATTAATAGTATTTCAAAATGTTAGACAGGCTGTTTGCTATTTCGGCGCTATAGCTTTAACCAACATTTCAGATTGAGGTCTCTTTTAGTTAGCTATAATGAATCAGATATGTGACTCACCCTGTATAGACATTATGTATAAAAAACGGGTTTTCCATAATATCGCAAGAACAAGAACTAATTAAGCAACATGATTCTTGGATTCAGCGCATCCAAATTACCTTAAAAAATTAGCAAACAGAACATTTTATTTTGTCGGTCGGCGTTATTTTTAAGTTGATAAAATATAAATATAATTATATTACTTTTAGTCTGCTTTGCAATACGTCCGTACTCACGAACACGTCATAATGGATCCAACTCACTCTCCCTCAGAGGCGTCGGAAATTTTTCTACCAAACGACATTCAACCAATCACAGGAAACAAAAGAAGGCCATCTGACAGGTAGGTCAATGTTTTTTTTGGTATGCGTTATTATAAACGATTTATATTTTTTTATTGCGAAAATCAATTGTTCCGCCTTAAAAAATAAGAAATGAGTCCTGTGGAATTAATTGAGAATTAAAATATATTTTTTCTACTCCCACCTTTAAAACGCCCATTATCGGACATGTTTCCATGACACTAAGTGACCTTTTAAATACACATTGACAAGTTGAGGCTTTGTGTCGCTTTAGTCACGGGCTGAAGTTAGCAACAGGTTTTTAGTCACGGGCTAAAGTTAGTTTTAAGTTAGTTGACAGTTATCAAATGTCATACATTCGTTAAAATAAAGTGCCTTTCTGGTAAAATAATACTAAGGGTGAAAATTATTTTATAATCTCAATACAAAAGTATTAAATAGTTTCTACGCCAATATTTGAAAAGATTATATAAACGTTTGTACTAACCTTTTGATTTCGCCGTAGTAGTTCAGTTAACTAGATTTAACTGGTAGAGCATTAAAAATTTTGCGTACAGTGCCCATAACTCTTCTCTTTTAATGTAAAAAACTGCTGCTATATCGATTTATAGTCTATTTTCAGGAAATAAATTTTGATTTACACAAAAATATTTGAGATTTTAACGATGGTGTATTTCCAAGTTAAAAATTCTAACGGAAATTCCAATAAATACAACTGTCCGTTTAACATTTCCCGAGCAAGATTTTTTAATACTTTGTGATAATATTTTGCAATTATAGTAATATAAAAATCAAAGGATAAAAGATTTTTTTCTACTCCTACCTTTAAAAAGCCTTTTATCGTACATGTTTTCATGACACTAAGTGACCTTTTAAATACACATTGACAAGTTGTGGCTTTGTGGCGCTTTAGTCACGGGCTGAAGTTAGTTGACAGTTGTCAAATGTCCTACAATCGTTAAAATAAATTGCCTTTTTTGTAAATTAATACTAAATGTGAAAATTATTTCATTATTTCAATACAAAAATACAAAAGTATTAAATGGTTTCTCAACGCCAATATTTGAAAAGTTTATATAAACATTGTACTGACCTTTTAATTTCGCCGGCAGTTAACTATATCTTAAATTCGGGCACGGACTCCACTGTAAAGTGCTCATAAAACATTTTCTTTACTTTCACTGTGAAAAACTGTCAATTTTCAAGAAATACATTTCGATTTATAACCTTTATAATCTAAATTAAATTCGTGTATAAAATGGCGTTTATCAAACTTGATACATAATATACTATTTTCTACTCCTACCTTTAAAACGCCTATTATGGTACATGTTTCCATGACACTAAGTGACCTTTTAACACATTGCGTGCCACGTCTGACATATGTGACAGACAGTGCTACTTCCTGAGGGCCCCTCAGTGAGGGGCCACGTCTGTCTTATATGCAAGACAGACAATATTCACTACCAGGCCGCGTCTTGCACATATGCTAGATGCTACACGCTTTATCTTATGGGTTATTAATTTGTGGCCTGTCACGAACATTTTGGTATATTTTGGTATATATGGTTCGAGCAAATTCGGAAAATTACTATTTTTTTCGATGATTTATATGCGACATCATGGTTTTAGGCTCATGGCCTATGGCCCCCTGCCAGGGGGCCCCTGGGATACTTTCCAAATATACACGTAGCACGCAATGTGTTAAATATAAATTGAGAAGTTGTAGCTTTATGGCGCTTTAGTCACGGACTGAAGTTAGCAACAGGTTTTTAGTCACGGGCTAAAGTTAGTTGACAGTTGTCAAATGTCAATCGTTAAAATAATAAAGTGCCTTTCTTGTAAAATAATACTAAATGTGAAAAATCTCAATACAAAAGTATTAAATAGTTTCTACGCCAATATTTGAAAAGATTATATAAACGTTTGTACTGACCTTTTGATTTCGACGTAGTAGTTCAGTTAACTAGATTTAACTGGTAGAACATTAAAAATTTTGCATACAGTGCCCATAACTCTTCTCTTTTACTGTAAAAAACTGCTGCTATATCGATTGTTAGTCTATTTCAGGGGATAAATTTTGATTTATACAAAAAAATTTGAGATTTTAACGATGGTGTATTTCCAAGTTAGAAATTCTAACGGGAATTCCAATAAATACAACTGCCCCTTTAACATTTCCCGAGTAAGATTTTTTAATACTTTGTGATAATATTTTGCAATTATAGTAATAAAAAAATCAAAGGATAAAATATTTTTTTAACAGTCATATTTTGAGGTTATTTTAATATTTTAAAGTATCAATAATTGTTAAGTTTAATTAAAATGTTAATGGTGAAAATTACGTCAAAAATATTTATAGGGATACTTTATTTTCGTATACAAATATTTAATTTAAATAATATTCTAGATAATATTAAGTTTTTGTCGTAAAAAAAGTATAGTATGCATACTATGCAACTCGTTTATAAACTTTTCTATGCACTCGTTTAATTAAGCACTCGCTCGCAAGCCTGCTGGTCCCTAAATTAAATTATTGACTAAAATGTTGTTTATCAAACTTGATACCTCATATACTATAATATACAGTCATCCATAAAAATTTAATTTATTTATTTTCAAATTTATTTTATTTTAAGTTTTAAATATTTTTATTTAGTATGTTTAAAATCTCACAAACTTTAGCATGTTTAAATACACTTGTGTACTTGTAAGTATTTTGTTATAAGTTTACATTATTTTTACGATAAACTTTAAAAAATTACTAAAAATATGTATGTATCAAATAAGTTTTATTCAATAAATATGCGTTTTTGGATTACACTGAAAAAAATAAGCTGTTGAAACGACAACAAAAATATTAATTCAATTCTTTATGCGCTAAATACAAGCAATGGTTTTTGCACGTTTACTTAACCATCTAAAAATATCAAATTGTATTGTTTAATTGAACAACAAATAACAGTCAAATGAACAAAATGAGAATATTTGTTCTAATCTGCTACTCTGGTTAATTTAACATTCTTGATATGTCGGAGTAATATTTCGAAAATGGTTGGGCTAACGTTCTTAAGATGTTAAGGTAAAATTCTTGAAATGTTCAGATAACCTTTTTAGAATATTCACTTAAAACCAATAAAATGTTAAATTAAACTAATTTAGAATTTGCGCTAATGTTCCAAAACGGTTGGGTTAACATTCTGAAAATGTAAAAGTAACATTTCTTAAAGGTTGGCATCCAAAACAAAATTATGGAATTAATATAAAGAGAAATAATTAAACCTTCACCTTGTCAGAGTTTTTGTTTTGAGTGCGTTCCACCTACAGTAGGTGACCTAATTCAAATACCGACAGAAAGCTGTTTCGCCCTATATTTGGGGTCTCATCAGTGTCGGGCAATTTGGTGTAGTGAAACACACCCAAATATAACGGTTACCTGAGCTTATATACTCCTATAGGTAAGCCAACTGAGGCGAGATGTAAAAACATCTCGTGATCCACACCGTCTAATGACGTGGCGTGGGTGTTCGAAGCTCCCTTCACAGCAATTTTATGAATCCAAATTAAACATTTTAAATTTTAAAGTAACATTTACAATTTGTTAAATAAAGAAATTTAATGTTTTGGATTAAAAAGCAACTAAACGTTAATTTAATAGTTTTTTTAGGTAATCCTAAAAATATTAGTATTTGATTCAACCAATTCCTAACTATTAAATCAAAATATGATATATTTTAATTCAAAAAATTTGTTTATGTTAAATCAATATTTTTTTTAGATATTGGGGTTATATTCTAGAGAAATAATGTTTTCTTTAGTTAAACTTTATTAATCTAAATGCACATTACAAGCAAGAACAACTTATTTTATTATTACCATAGATACTACAACATAATTTATATCGAGAGCAGCCAATGTTAAATTTTCTTTTATATTTATTTATTTCAATAATTTTAACTGTCAAATAAACACATAAACTTTGACAAACTCTGACTATTGCTTTGACACCAAAATATAGATTAATCCAATAGGTTTTTTGATGAAACAACATTTTCAAAAATGACATTTAGGCAAACGTTAACTCAACTACATTGTTTTTTTCGGTGTACATTCTTTGATTATAGCATACATTTAAATACAAAACTATTTTTTTAAACAAATTCTCATAATTGCCTTAAATTGTAATAAAGTTTAAGTTTACATAGAATAAATCAGTATGGATTTATTCAAAATTCAGTTAAATTTAATCCCGGCGCATTCGCCATTTTTTAAAAGTATTTAACGGCTGAACAGATTTTGATGAAATTTGGTATACAGGTCTTAATAGGAATAAGACAAACAAAGAATTTTGTTTAAAACTACACGAGCGATGCTAGTTTTGTAATATTTTTTAAATAGGGACTATAACTATTTTTTTATAACTTCTTTAAAAATTGTCTAGTTTTTATTAAATAAACACTAATATGTTTTTATTTATTGTCCTATACAAAAGGTTTGTTAGCTGGACAGAGTCAAATTGTTAAGCTTAACAAGAACAGATTTGCCTCGTACATATATTTGGATAATGGTAAAACATTTGCACGATATGTGATCCACTTCTGCGAATAGTTACCATTACCATTAAACGGCGTGCAATTTGCAAAAGTCCTGGCTCGGCATGTTTTCGATGCCATTTGCATGGCCGTTAAAACCCGCCAAAGTTCGTCAGCAAACCTTCTGTCGGTTAATGTCGCCGTCGCACACTGGGAGGAATTTCAAAAATCGCGGACAAAACCATATTTTGTAAAAATCAACATAGTAAATTTTAAATTACGAGTTATAAAAAAAGAAAGCACAGAGATTATGATTTTAAAAGAAATATATTTTTTTATGATAATATGCCCGCTTAAACTTGCTTAAAAAGTCACATTGTTCGTGTCGGTTTTTTAGAGCAAATTGTATGTAAGTTTTTTAAGCCCATTTTTGTTTTGCGTAATTAATGAAAGGAAATGATGGTATATTTTACTACATTCTTTATCCTTGTTCTTTCATATAAAAGTCT